AAAAAAAAAGTTAATAGTAAATTCAGTACTTGGTACAGCATAGAAAACAAGAGCCAAGTGTGGGAGGCAGGCAAATTATCACAGATTTTGAGATTTTCATAAATAAAATACTTTTTAAAAATTCAAATCTGCTTCTTGCAAAAGTAACTTGCTACAAATATGACAGTTTTGTTAAAACTAGGAGGTTTAGATTAAAAAAATGGGCTTAACGGTAAAGTTTCTTATCCAAAATCCATTCTAAATTAATCTTACATTTCTTCCCACTGTCTCCTCCTACCCTGAATTTTAACAACTTCACACACAGTACAGTGTACCGATGATGTGTTGTGGAATTGTGCACATGAAACATGTTAACTTTGTTAACCAATGTCACCCCAATAAATTCAATAAAAAGGAAGAAAATAAAATGATATGCTTGAATATATTTGTGTAGACAATGTGGACTATTTAAAAAGATTGATCATACATAGAGCCTTGTATTATGTATTAATTACTCTTAAATCACTACGGTTCTCTGAAGACTGTCTAGTGATGTTCACTTGGTATAAATCTCAGATAATACAGTAACAGGAAGAAAGTTCTAGGAGAAACATACCAGAGCAAGAGTTGTAGGTGATGGGAAGTTTTTCATATGCCCAGCTTCTACCCACCCCTTTCAGAAAAAGAAGGGATAGACTACGTAGTAATGCTTTTTAGCTAGTTAATTACTCAGTGTTGTTTGCTGACAATAAGTCTTTTTGTGCCAAAATTGTGAATCTTTAGAAATTAAATCAATTGTCCAGAAGCAGCTGGATGGCTCGTGTGTCATAGAAGGGAACATAACTAGTAAAGAATATTGGAATATTTCTCTGCTCAGAATTTTCTTATTTTTAAGATTTGTCTTTATTGTTGAAAGTATTACAGGTTTCCCCCTTATTTTCCCCATTGGGAGAGTCTGCTTCACTTCCCTAAGCAAAACACTGTAGATGAAAAGAGTCATTTCACAGTAGCAATAAGTCCCAGACCTTTTGTGGACCAACCTAGATAAATTAGGAGCTGGATAGAAGTGCAAATACACTATGGGCTCCAAGAATCAGCAGCTGCATAAAAAGAAAAATGTTTGAATGAAAACCTATAGTAACCCTTTACCTCTTGTGGCCACAGGTTCTCATTGTATAATATCCAGGTGCATATACCACATTTATGGTCACTCCTCAATCTTGATGAACAAATGTTAGATCTGAACAAAATGTACTGTAGATGAGTAATGACACAAAGTGAACACAGGATAAATTTAACAGGGTATGTTACTAATATAGGAGGTGCTCTAATTGAAGGAAAGAACATGATTGTTTAATCTATCAGACAGAAGTTTTATTACTGTTTTAAAAAATTCACAGAACCTGAAGATAATGTTTTCCCCTCAATAAAAGCAGTAAGAATTGTATTTCATAGCTGAATTTTTATATTTTCTTATGTTTAAATCCTTAAGGATACTTTCAGCTAAAAACTGCAATCAGAAGTCAAGTCTGGGTACATGCAGATTCTGAATGCCTAATAATTTGTCTTTGTTTCTAGATTTAAAAGAAAATAATATCATGTCTTACCTTTGGGCTAAAAACTTATGAAACCTTATAAATACTGATATAAACCTATAAATGCCTGTAATTATGATTACATTCACTATACAGTATGTAAAGCTTTTATTTTATTTTATTTTATTTTTTAAATGTATCTTTATTGTTGAAAGTATTACAGGTGTCCAATTTCCCCCCCAATTGACCCCCTCCACCTCGCTCCCACCCCCTCCCCAGGCTTTTACCCCATTATTGTCTGTGTCCATGGGTTATGCATATATGCATATAACTTATTTGGTTAATCTCTTCCCACCCTCCACCCTCCTTTCCTCTTTCCTCTGAAATATTGTCTGTTGCATGTGTCAATATTTCTGTGTCTATTTTGCATGTGTCTATTTCATTTGTCAGGTTCTTCTGTTCTTTACCTTGTTCTTAAAGAAGACCCTTCAACATTTCATGTAGCACTGGTCTGGTGGTGATGAAACCCTTTAGCCTTTTCTTATCTGTGAAGCTCTTTATCTGACCTTCAGTTCTAAATGATAGCTTTGCTAGGTAGAGTAATCTTGGTTGTAGGTTCTTGTTTTTCATCACTTTGAATATTTCTTGCCACTCCCTTCTGGCCTGCAAAGTTTCTGTTGAGAAATCAGCTGACAGTCTTATGGGTGCTCCCTTGTAGGTAACTAACTGCTTTTCTCTTGCTGCTTTTAAGATTCTCATTTTGTCTTTAACCTTTGGCATTTTAATTATGATGTGTCTTGCTATGGGCCTCTTTGGGTTCCTTTTGTTTGGGATTCTGTGCTTCCTGGGCTTGTAAGTCTATTTCTTTCCCCAGGTAGGGGAAGTTTTCTGTAATTATTTTTTCAAATAGGTTTTCAATTNTCTATTTCTTTCCCCAGGTAGGGGAAGTTTTCTGTAATTATTTTTTCAAGTAGGCTTTCAATTTCTTGGTCTCTGTCTTCCCCTTGTGTTACCCCAATAATACGAATGTTGGGCCTCTTGAAGTTGTCCCAGAGTCTCCTTACACTATCTTCATATTTCTGGATTCTTTTTTCTTTTTGCTCTTCTGGTTGNTATCTTCATATTTCTGGATTCTTTTTTCTTTTTGCTCTTTTGGTTGGGTGTTTTTTGTTTCCTCATGTTCCAAATGGCTGATTTGATTCTCAGCACCCTCTTCTCAACTGTTGATTCTCTGTAAATTATTCTTCATTTCATTTCATGTAGCCTTCATATCTGATTGTTACTTTATTATGTCATTGATGGTCTCGTTTGTTTTCATAATAGTCTTACTAATATCCTTGAGTATCCTTATAACCATAATTCTGAACTCTATATCTAGTAGCTTGCTTGGTTCTATTTCATTTAGTTCCTATTCTGGAGATTTCTTCTGTTCTTTCCTTTGTGACATGTTTCTTTGCCTCCACATTTTGGCTGCTTCCAGGTGTTTGTTTCTATGTATTAGGTA